TTCACATTGGCCTTCATTCCTTGCTTTACGTTTTTATGTTGATTTTATATTTTGCTAACTCTTATGCGTCCCCTTTTATATGTTATTCATCCTTCTTTCTTTAATCAACACCGATCGAAAAATCGAAACAATTCTTTGATAATTTTTACAGACATTGAAAGGCAAACATTTCCAGACAAACGTTGAGTCACAAATATCTGCAATGTCCTATTTGGATTTAATATTGAGATCCATAACAGAGCCAGGTTTACTGCGCGCCTTTGTCAAATTTCTCCTGGATACGGAAAAGTTTGATGGAGAACGGATATTGGACATATTAATAGATCGTCTGGGTTCCACGGATGCAAATTTGTGTATGGTAACAATGGCATTGTTCGATACCATGCTTGCGTTGCACTGCGAAGACCTAATGCTGGAGCTTTTATTGAAGTACATACTGCCCGGCAAGCATGTGCCTATTTCGCATCGACATAAAATAAATAAAATCGACCCGTACACAAACACAGCCGAATTTTTTCTGGACCTTACACCAGACGTAATGAAACGCGCAAGAGAATTAACTAAGCACAAATCACTCGGTGACACAGTGGCAACACAACCACCGCACCCAGCGCTGCCTTCACCGACATCGACAATGAGTAAAACCATCGGCGCAAATTGGAACTACTACGGCGTGCACACGGGCAACAGTCTCTATGCCAACTTTCACGCGTACCTCTTTGAAGCGCATTGCCGCATCACACAATGTAAGAATGCCTGTTCCAAATGGAGGAACACATACAAATACCAAAAGTGGCCGCCAAAGAATCTACGCGCACAGCAGACCCAGGCTATAGAGATGGTTAAACAATTTTTCACTGAATTTGGAGCAAATGCTTTGACGGAAAACGAAAGCGCGAGTTCGGCTATAAACGCCAGAGTTGCTGTGGAAAAAACACAGCCGGACAGTCTGCAGTCCATAGGGGAATCAAGCGGCTATGAGTCATTTAAGTGGCGACCCGTCGATGAAGATGGTGGTGAGTGTACAGACTCAACCGCTAATTCCACAATGCATATGTTAAGCTCAAGTGGCGGTGAAGGTGAGCTAGATAATAGTGGGAGCAGTAGCAATAGCAACAGTTTAGCTGCGAAACAATACAGAAAAGAAATTTGGCGCGTATCGAGCAACAACAACGATTTAGTCCTTACTGATTTAGACTTTTCGGAAGATCTCTTTGCACAAGGGACAGTAAGTTTAGGTAAGTGTGCAGCGTACCCCTAAAATAATAATTAAGTATGTTGCTACTACTTTCATTTTTCACCTCAGGTCCCTTCCTAAACGCAATATGGGGTAAATTGCAAACGTTCACCAGCAACACGTTATATGTAAACTTACATCTTACTGGTTTGATTACGCGGCTCGCCTGCTATCCACTACGATTGGTTCATTCACTTCTATTGCGGCCGGACATTGTTATCACTTCGGACACACCATCGTTCCAGCAAATATTACGCATACTTAAGCAACAAATTGATGCGGAATTGCCGATGTGTGAGGATTCGCTTGAAATTGTCGATGTGGCTCGCTCTTATCTCATCGACCGCGAATTTCGTTTGATACGCTGCCTCCACAGCAGCAGCAGCGTTTTGGTCCACAAACGACATTCGCAGGCATATCGTCAGCATCACCAGTACAAGTTACACCCTCATCGTCGTATGACCCCTTCAAGCGGAACGATAATAAGCGTAAAAGTATCAGCAAATCCATAACTAGTATGTTTAGTCGTAAAGCCAGCGGTAAGTTGTGAACGCCCCCACATGACGCAGAAGTTACATATTTCCACACACATATACATAAGTAACACACATGAAAAATTTGTGCGCGTCTCAATTGAACTAATCATTATCAGTGCAATTATTTGTGATTGGTGGGAATTTGAAAGTTTTTATTTAAATAATTTTTCCTGATTTAATTGGGTTGTGAGGAATCGTACGTTTTTTCTGTTTTTAATTTTTTTCTAAGTAATTATCGTTTTTTAATCTCTGTTTATTTCGCATATAAAAATTTAAGATAAAATGCGAATGTTTCACTACGGCTTGGTACTTCATTTGAAAATTACATAATTGTAATTTGTATGCATTATTTATTCATTTTTCACATCCGACCACTCCAATTGGGTCTTTAGCAAAAACTCAGTAAAAGCGTTTAGTAGAAGTGAGCATTTGATTCATAAACTCGTGGATGTACTTAAGTTTATTACCAGCTACAAACGACTTTTCATAAACGAAAACGAACATTTTATTCTTATGTTTTAATTATCTTTTAATGCTCATTGTTGAATATAAATTTACTTGTGTCTTTATTTTTATTTACGCTTTTAATGCGTGTTTGGCAAGGCCCTCTTAACATGTATGTATGCCGGAAAATCTTTTGAGATGGAGACTTCAAAAAAAAAATTAAAACTCTAACATAGGGCAATTTTTTCCCATAAATTATCACTTGTCAACCTAATTGAAATACATTATAACCTGTGTAACTAATATTTTTTAATCGCTACTCTACTTAAACCATATCTTTAAACTCGTTTCTTACTAGTCCGGTCATTTTGAAGGTTGCAGTAACTCGCATAAAGCTGAAATTTGGTACGAATGTTACGAACATCATTATGGAATTTGAAAAGTCCTGATCGATCCGAGATCTGTAAAAAAGATTATTCAAGGTCAAAGGTCACATAAATTGATTGTTACCATTTTTAAGCTAAACGTAAGGTTATTCATTAAAAATAGGTTAGACAAAAGTGTAGATCATGCAGTTATCTGCAAAAACCGTTATGCCACTTTTGTTCCTAAGAATCACCATTTCTGGGATACAACGACTTGATCGACATACATTTTGTAATATATTTCATTTATAAAATATTTTAAATATAAGTTAATTTTTGTAACAGGTGGTAGTATAAAATTTCAGTTGTTGTTGTTGTTGTTGTTGTTGTTGTTGTTGTTGTAGCACCATACAAGTTCCCCAAAAAGTTTTTGGGTAGTGTTGCTGGAGTGACAGTCCTTGGCCAAATATAAATCTGGGTCGTTCCGGTTACGTAGACCCGACTGCCGTGGGAACGTGGGCTAATTGAGATAAAAGCTATCCTGATGACCAGTTGATTATTTAAAGCGTGAAAGCGTAACAAACAAACCATTCGCGTTTATATTAGTAAAGATTAACCAGTACTGACCAATAAAATAATTTTTAGAGGTGAGCATTTTTTACACAGACCCAAATACGCTTTTTATAAAATACGCGAAATTCAGTTACAGTTGTGAGCAGCTTTTTTCTCTCATTTGGTAACTGGCACATTTCTCTAATACCTGTAATTTTATTCCTCGGAGCCTACAAATACATTAACGTCTGAAAACACCAAGCTTGAGATCGGGCCTTTCCAGAAGTTATACATTAGGGGAATTCGCTCTTATGTGTATTCGTTGTATGTTGTGTAATCGTAACTGCATGATTTGTTGTTGCTAGCGCTACATCAAATACACATGCAACAACTACCCCACGCTCTTCCAGTTACACTTAAGCAGGATACAGCGAATACACAGAAGCGCGAATACCACTATTAATAAAAAGTAGATTTTGAGCGAGTTGCACTAGAAATTTCCTGATTTTCTCGAGTTTAGCAAATAATTTAGGCATTTAAACCGTTAGTTTTGTTATGGATAATTATTTACTGATATTTACACATATGTATAAGTAGTATTAACGAAGGCATAGAAACCGCACTTGGCAGTGCAGCTGCTTTGTGGCGGCAACAATATACCAATAGGCAAAATGTCCCCGTCTCAAAAGATTTCCCCATGTATTTGTGGCATTTTATTCTATTGAACATACAAAACTATTTAATGGTATATTAGATACTTACTTTTATTATTTCTTGTATTTTCTGAATTCCTAGCTTCATCTGGCTTATCACAAATTTACGCATTCTTCACCGGTAAATATTTCACAAAAAAGATAGTGATTTATCTATATATGTATATGCATTCTACGTAATCGTTAGCAATATTGCTATTTTCCTTTTTTGTTTTTGTGTATACATGTGTATGTAATAGAATTTGTATAGATTAGTTTAAGTACACAAGTATGTGTGTGTGTATGAGTTAGTAGAAAATTGCTTTTGTATCCTTTTTTGGCAAATCTATCACCTTCATATGTACATAAGTACAAAGAATTATCTCCTACACTTTTATATGACAAAATTTAAATGGTAATTCGAACCGAAAAATGTCCTCTTAAACTTATGAATCGATCATGATTTACGAGGCCTAAACACTAACACTTCATTAGGGATTTGTAGAATAGAAAAACAAAAGGTTTTCTAAAATTTGTATCGCCGACAGCCGAGCTCTTCTGCTTGGATTTCAAACTTAGGTGTAGCGGAGGAAATTACTTTTGTATTGCTCGTCGTTCTCAGAAGTTTGTCTTAGGCTAATTATGCCATATTTTGCTCTTGGATTAACACCCCCAAATTTAATAAAGAAACAAACAACTAAAAATTTTGGTAAAAAATTACCAAAACGACATCTAAATTTTGGGGTTTAGATGATAACTTATAGTCATATTCCTCCTTCAGAGTCATGCCAGAGTCATATCGGTGTAACTAACACATATTTATTTTCACTATACCTATACCCTATACCTATAAATATTTTTTGATTTCAAAATAAAAAATAGGGGTATATTTTTCGATATAAAACTACTCTAGGGGTCGACCATTAAAATTCTGACTTTACTTATTTTGGACCTCCCTAATGTGCATAGTAGTAATAATAGTATTGTATTTATTTTATTATATTCAGCCCTATCGCCAATTCCATGTGAATAAATCGTTCCCATTGTTTAACATGCAAAACAAAAACCTATTGGGAAAAATTTTTTTTGTTTTGCTTTAAATTTTTGGGAATATTTGTTTATGTGAAATTCGCNAAAATTACCAAAACGACATCTAAACTTTGGGGTTTAGATGATAACTTATAGTCATATTCCTCCTTCAGAGTCATGCCAGAGTCATATCGGTGTAACTAACACACCTCCCTAATGTGCATAGTAGTAGTAATAGTAGTATATTTATTTTATTATATTCAGCCCTATCGCCAATTCCACGTGAATAAATCGTTCCCATAGTTTAACATGCAAAACAAAAACCAATTGGAAAACTTGTTTTTGTTTTGCTTTAAATTTTTGGGAATATTTGTTTATGTGAAATTCGCGATAGGGCCGATTATATGCAAAGTTTAGAAAATGGGTTTTATATTTAAGAGTGGGGTGTATAATGAAATCCCGATATACAAAATACCGAAATACAGGATCCCGAAGGACCGACAAAATATAAAAATAATTAAAAAAATATATCGCGCGATCAAAGTGGCAACGCCGTTGATGATACTCACAATTTATGAAACTTGAAAAAATTGTATTATCCATCGAAAGTTGTTTATTGAAAATATCTTCGTTTTTGTATCATGATTTCAAGTAAGAACCGATGTTTCCGGTGACCCTTTCCAGCGGGAAGAACAGGTTTTTTCTTTTCATGATCTAATTTGTTATAAGCTAAACTTATTTGTATTCTCCTTATCTGCATGGCTTATACTTAACTCAATTTTTAAATGCACTAGAGTTCAACTTATGTGCTTAAAAAAGGGGCGGAAAAGCAATTAACTTATTAAAATTGTTACTAAATTTCCTCTCGCTTATTAAATAATTATTTATTTGATTTTGTGATAAAGCATGAGAGTATTTATAACTGTATAGTATTGCTTTTATACTAAGTGCTATTATCACGTTATTCAGAAAGTTGTTGCAATCTCACACTGTAGCTTATAGTACACGTACAATAACGCATACCTAGTTTTCCCCTCCTAACATAAGTATGTATGTGTGCGCGTATAGTTTACATAATTCATGTAAACTTTTCAACTTCACTTACGATTCACAACTTTTTCTAGGCGGCTCCTTAGGCTCAACATTCTCCGCCAGTGGCAATGGATCAACATCACAGCAGCAAGCCTCCCCAATTGCGCATAGCACTCGTGAAACAAGCTTGACGACAATGCCCGGCTCTATGGCTATTTCCGAATCAACAGCTGCAGACACCACATCGCACATTATCCAAATTTCGGACAGCACAACATCGCCGAGCGGTATTGCAACGCACAACACACATACACATACGTACACACAACAAAGCAATACTATTGGAATGAATTCAATACTTGTGTCAAGCAGTGGCGCCACGATTGGTGGTTCTGGCTCGGAACCGGTCTCATTGGATTCGCTTTCATCTATGGGCGCTATAGCTAACACAAGCGGCACAGAACGCACAAGAGATCTGGCACTATGTGCTGTTTTACTTGATGAATGGCTTAAGGAGTTGGCAGCGATTGCACAAGAGCATAGCGTGGTTTTGCTGAACGAAAACATTTGATGGTGGCGTAAACGCCATCGCAGTCGAAAGTTATGCTGTTGATTGGTAGCGGAAAGAGGGGAAGTACCGTGCAAGGAAATACACACGTACATGTACATATGCATGCAAATATATTTACTAAGGATTATCTATAGATATTCATATAAGAAAAACTTTATCCTTAAGGAAAACAAAAGGTTGAATATAACAATAGGTTTGTATAGTAACTTCTCCAGTAAAACATTGCAGCGAGAGCGTAAAAGCAAAATAGAGCGTAAAATTGAGAAGAACAGAAAACTAGCAGAAAAAGTTAATGAACACAAAACTAGCAAAAACTTGCAAGTGAACAGCTGTTGCACTGTTTTGATATTCTGCTGTAAACATTTTACTATTTATAAATCATTTTTAAACGCTTTGCTTTACACACACGCACTTATACAGTCCAGTACATCATTAATATTTTGATTTCTACTCATTTTACTTTTGTTTGTGCTGAACCAATTCAACAAATGGCGGCTTTTTACACTTATTCTTCTTCTTCTTCTGCTAGCTAATTTCTGCTAGTAGAAATTTCACTAGCAAGAATTTGCAGCTCTCCCGTGTTGCTACGCTCTCGATTCAGTGCTCTCTTGCAAATTTTTTGGGTTATCATACGCTTTTCCAGTAAAAATTTGCAGGTTCCAGTACAAATTAGTACTGACTATTGGTTACTATACAAACCTAATGCCAATTAGTAAAATATAACTGTACTAATTTCGTCGAAAAGCAATTTCCAGTTACATTGTACCTATAATACATACAATTATTGTCTTTCCCTATTTTAATTGTAAATTTTAGCGACACAGGAAATCTGTACACAAAGTTAATGATGTTTTCAAGAATGGTTTTTGAGATTCCCCGCTTGCAACAATGCAAAGTATTTTAATATTATTGTATTATATTTTTTTGTTGAACAATTTTTATATTTGTTATAATTTTAAGTTAATAATGATGCGAATGTATCGTACGACATATTAGTATCGGGAAGATCAAACGATTTTTATTCACTATTTATAGTTTTGTATTTTGATACACATATGTATGTATAATCAAATTAAAATTAGACCGAAAATTTAAGACAAAAGCGAACAAAGCAGAAAGTGCCTCATGAATCCATGTGTACTTTTGACTACTCATACAAACATAAAATACATTTAAATATGCTTATACCTAAGCTATGCTGCGGGCGAGGTGTCCAAAATAAAGATAATGTGGTATTTTTCGAAACATTTGCTTATACAAAAACAAAACAAAAAATAGTAATATTTACATATACATACATATATACATCTATTATTAATACATATACTTGTGTGTAGTAGAAACGCACTTTATTGTAAATCAAACAAAAAACTATACTTACAATCCCATAGTTAAGCCGATTTACGCAATCAAGTATCATTATTTTATATATTGTACATATATTATTGTAAGTTATTCTTGATTATTTGGAAAATGCATGTAAAAAATGAACAAACCGATTACATCGATTTACTAATAAAATACAAAATAAGTAAATGGGTAGTATGATCCCTGATCCGAATTACCAAATTTCACTTGTTTATTCATTGTTTTTACTTTTCTCAAATCATATTGTTAAAATTCCGTTGTTTCGGTATGGCGCCCAACGATGTGTCTGGTGTCCTGTATTCATTTTGCGAACGCAGTGGGAAATCGCTATCTAAATTTGCACTTCGATTAGAGACTCGAGGACTAGTGAATCTAAAAAACGTAGAAAACAATATAAGTTTAGTTTAAACTTGACACAGATGCAATTCCTGAATTCTTTACAAATCCTTCCAATCGTTGCCACTCACCGCATTTTATTTGCTGCATAAAAGGCACCTTCAACAGTTGTGAGCTTTTCCTTCAGCTCCAACTTCAAATATGCTGACTCAACCAACTTATCAGCGACATTTGCATTTTCTTCTTTGTCCTCAAATACAAAATGTACAACGGCAGTTGGCACAAAATTCAATTCCAAGAGCGTTTCATCCGAAGGCAATATATATTTTGGAGGTATGGTAACTAAAAAGTTATTTGATTTATAAAAAAGCATTAAAATAACATTAAAATTTAGAACAAAGTAGAGAAAAAAAAGAGGAAAGGAAATTATTGAAAAGTTAATAGATAACACAGACCTGAGTTTTTAGGACTGATAAAAGGTCGCTATTCATCACTTACACAAATGGAATTTCGCTTCGGGGTCCTGCAAAAATTGACGCACAAAATCCATAACATCGGAGATTTTATCGATTGGCTTGAAGATACCCTGCAAAACGAGTCGGTCAGGGAATTGAATTCGTATTACGCAATTCTTGTATTGTGAAATTTTGTTTAACATGGTTTTTTGATCTTCCAATTGACGCAATCGCTCCGTGAGTAGGGGGGCATCTTCATCACCCCTTGACGCTTTTTTCAAATCGCGCAATACCAATCTAAGGTCCTCGACGGTTAAATCGAAAAACGAATCGGGTAATTCTTCTGCTTGAGTTTGTGTATCATCCAAGGAATACAGCACAGCGTTTCGTTCACCAATCTAGTTAAGTGAAAGTTTTGAATCAATAACTACGAAGCTATAATCGTATTTTAAAAGACGGCACTTACAATATTGACTTCCGGTTCTATTTCCATTTCAGGTTGTTCCTCGTCTAATAAATTACCCGCATTACTTGCAGTATCTTGTGCATGCCTCGAATTTTGTATAGAATAACCAGTACCCGAACCCCAATCATATTTGGGCTTTTCTGGCTCGATCTCCTTATTGATCTCTGCCGGACCTACATTACGCGTAGCAGAATTTTCAGCATTTTCCGCAACTTCTGACTTCTTTAGCGATTGCACCAAATCTTTCGTTATAGCGAATCCACCACCACCGCCCATATGGATTGAATCTTGTTGAGGTGGCACTGACCTTTTGTGTTCCTCTTTTGGCTTTTCCCTTACTTTCGATGGTACGTAAACATTGGCTTGTCTAAAATTTATCAATTAACAATATTGAGTAATTTCTTTTAAATATTGGGGGAAACTTTCCTATACATATGTGCAATGGTTAAAGGCGTGGTGAGCGAAGGGGGAGTGGGGTGTGGCAACGTGTGATGTGATAAATAATAATTTCGGCCAACCCATTACGACATAATAAGTGAAACAAAAGCGCACATACATATAAGAATGCAAACCAAAATATTGTTTAAGACGTACGACTTCAGCTCCTCTGCAGTCTTGTCCATGACCCGAAACATGGCACGGCCCTCGAATATGCCTAATGATTTGAGAGTTGTCTCCGCCATGCGATTTTTGCCAATAATTTCTTGACGCATGTAAATCGCCACAGGACTGGAATAACTTTTTATTGCCTCAGCCCCAAGCTCTTCGACAACTTCCCAGAGATTGTTGCTGGGCTTGAACTGACCTTGAACACGCGATCCATCCTCCAATTGAACACAGATATTCACATTTGACTCGGTGCGTCTGCGTTCGGTCTGCGACATTTCCAATAAGCAGTTGTTGGGAAGCCCACTAAAACGAAATATTTGAGTAAGGCCCACTTCTTTGTTGTGGTGCTTTAGACAGTATTCGCTGCTATCTAAACCATGTTTTTGACAAACCTCCTCCAAAATCTAAAACCATTGGATATTGAATCAACGTTTCAAGTTAATAGTATATAAAACAGAAACATTACCTGTAGTAAAGTCGTGTTGGGTGTAACTTTAACATTTTGTCTCCGATTAGTCGGTGTAAGAACGGTAACTTTTCCTTCCATATTTTCTAATGCAATATATGTATGTATGTGTATAGATTTTTAATTTGCGACCACGTCAAATTTCTTCTGCCGGCTTTATATGAGTTGCAACAAATCAAATGTAAAAAACAATAGTCAAACGGAATGCACACACTCGTACATATGTATATGAAAATTCACGAAGCAAATTTGTTATTGTTTGGTAAGAATGAGTACATAAAAGGGAAATTAATAAATATTGAACAAAGTAGAAAGAAAAATTGTTTAATGGCCAAAAACACACGACAATAATTGTACATGCAATCCATGAACGAAAGACACAAGATCACGTAAGAACAAGAGAGTGAAAAAAGTCGATATTTTTTAGCGGGTTCTACGCCATCTTGTTTCACTGGAAAACGAGCGAAAAGTAAACAAAGCAAAGAAAACAACGAAAACCAAAATTAGCCAAAATTATTGTCAGCCACTTTAAACGCACAATTTAGGTAAAATGATGCAACAAAATGCTTTAAAATGTGTTGTCATGTTGAATTAACTCTTCTTTACTTGAATAAAAGTGTAAAATAGTGGTGCTTGTNTTACGTGATCTTGTATTTTTGGTTCATGCATGCAATCATATATGTAATACTTCTATATTGGCAGTAATACCATGTTCTGACCGACTTCGAAAACATGTTTTCGTTGCTAAAACTGGTTTTCGACTTAAAACTTGTGTTTTCGTCCATGTAAAATCTGTCAAACGAAAACTGGTTTTCGCCACAATATAACCAGTAAACAACCTTCGGTGAATTTGTCGACTGCCCATGAACGAAAGACACAAGATCACGTAAGAACAAGAGAGTGAAAAAAGTCGATTTTTTTAGCGGGTTCTACGCCATCTTGTTTCACTGGAAAACGAGCGAAAAGTGAACAAACCAAAGAAAACAACGAAAACCAAAATTAGCCAAAATTATTGTCAGCCACTTTAAGCGCACAATTTAGGTAAAATGATGCAATAAAATGCTTGAAAATGTGTTGTCATGTTGAATTAACTCTTCTTTACTTAAATAAAAGTGTAAAATAGTGGTGCTTGTGATGTAAACAAACGCTCAGCTGACGAACCCGCTTTCGCAAACTTTTTTCTCAAAACCAGTTACAAATACAACGTCGCGTTCTTACGTGATCTTGTATTTTTGGTTCATGTCGACTGCCTTCCTCGGGGATGAATATGCTAGGGATGAAATTATTGGTACACACGCCTTCCAAGCACGCAGGGTTGCTTTTAAGAAACAAAAAATATTTAACTCCAAATAGTTTCAAAAAGTATAGTGTAAAACGAAATTTATTGAATAATTCCACATAAAATGGTATACATAAATGACGCATTTTCTAAACGATTTAAATTAAACGTATTTGCGAATTGATAGAAAAGTACTACGGATTGTAAATTTTTGTTAACTAAGAGGTGAATGAAAATTTTCAACCCGGCCTGATGGTTTGATTTTATTGCTAAGGCGTCTAATAAATTAATTTCTGATTTTAATTGGTCAACTTCTTTTGAACCAGAGCAACTGTCAAAAATTTCCAACAGTAAAAAGTTACGAATTGGCACAGCAGAAATGTAAAATTTTCTCGCCATAATAAAAAGTTTTTTCAACATGGAACTTTTCTACTAATTGACATGAAATTACTATCTCAACGCTCGGAGCGCTGCCACTGAGGGCCTTTGCCAACTGATTAAAAAGAGAAAATTTGGAAAGGCCAAACAAAAATTTTTTACCTCGCTCGTGGGATTACGCAAAATTTTGACAGCTTGTAAATATGTATACACATAAAGTTGTTGGCGGTAATAAAGAGTAAAAATTAAAATGGAGAAAAGAACAAAAGGCGTAGGTTAGTTGTCAGTTATAAAATAAATCCAATTTATTTGCGAATATTTGTTTATTCTTTTTATTGAAAGGCCACCACTCGGAAAAGCTTGTGTTAATTATATTGATAATAGAACCTGGCAGCTCGCTCGTTGTCTAAATTCTCAAG